TATGTATTTCCGGCCTGCCATTCTTTCAATGACGTTTATTTGATATACAGATAAGTCTCAGTATTATTAACATAGTGTGCATAATTTTTATTTCTTTTGTTATAAAACTTTTATATGTTTGATAAATTATAAATACTAGTGTCAGGATTATAAATTCAAGCATCCATTGAAATGGAAACAGTAAAGAGGCTAAAATAAAGTACTTTAAAACTGTTATTAATTAATAAAGTCTAAAGGGTAAATATTTAACATAAACGGTTGAAACTCCATAAAATAAATATTTCATAGAAATTAGTGTAGTTTTTAGTGTAGTTTCGTTTTTTCTGTGTTAAGTTTTGAGATATTAGACATGCAACCAAAAGGAATTACAAATATCCTTATCAAAAACAAAAAAAAAAACTTAGAAGGTTCCAACAATTTTGGAAATAATAAGAAAAATCGTTTGCGATGATCAGTTTTGGATCTAATTGAATAAGGATGTGACACTGAAAGGCTAGCTTTATCCTTACGAAAACTAGAGTTTGGCACTGGCCTATTCATAATCTGGTCTTGTCCAAGATGTAGTAAGAGTGTGGCTGGAAATAACTTGTACTTTGTTTTTACAACATCCAACATTTTATATATATATATATATATATATAAGCTATCGATTTATTCGATCAGCCCTGATAGAAACACACCGAAGTGCTACCGAATGGACTTCTTCCCAAAAGATAACCACACTACCTAATCTGAATTTGAAATGTTTTCCTCTAACTCCATGAGATAACTGACCCAACATTATTTTGCAATATGTTGTACTTGGCCTTCAAATTTATATTGTGTCAGTTGATTCCACCAAAAACTATCTAGTCGCAGTCAAAAACATGTTCTGCCATGAACCTTTGGAATCTCGCAGTCACTTGTTCTTCACATGTCGATACTCGGAAGAGCTTTGGTCTAGGCTAGCAAGTAAGCTTCTCACTAGAAGCTTTTCCACAAGCTTGGATACCGTTCTCAAGCTACTCACGGATAAGCCTATGGGAAATGATCGTCTCTTCTTGACGAAATATACTTTTCAAATCACAGTTCACTCGCTATGGAAAGAAAGAAATAGGAGAAGACATGGAGAAGTTCCAACTTCATCAACTCAAATGATTAGGGAGATAGATAAGCAAATCCGAAACAGAGTCTCTTCCATACTAGATCTCGGAGATCAACGTACGAAGGTTGTATGATGATGTGGTTCGCATCAAGATAAGGAAAAAGCTCTCATCATTTTTTTTAAAAATTGGTTAATGTATTCAAAAACTCTTAGACAAACGCAGCTGTAAAAAGTTTTTTCGAATAAATTTTACTATTTATTAAAAAAATAAATAATGTCACGTCATAATTATCCGATATTATTCAAACGCCGTTTAATTTTTGATACAAACAACGCAACACTTTTCTCGAGTCATCAACTTGACGGCAAACCTTCGCTATCTTCCTAACAAAATAATGCACGAGACAACTGTCAAGACTCAAGACGATATAGCTTGTCATACTACAGCCGATAATTGCCAAAATTTACTCAAGAATTCATAGTTTAACAATAAGACTACAAATAATTGGTACGTAAAAAATTAGAAATAAAATACAAATATTTAAACATTTATCCATATATGCATTCTATAAATAAATGTCAACTATTTTTAAACTACCCTTTGTGTTAGATTGAACCAATTGTTTCAAAAAAATAATAATAATAATTGTAGAAAAATGATAAAGAAGACAAGAGGATATATAAAATGTTAAAAATATGTCGGTTTTGTTGATTTTTGGATGGATAAAATTTGATCTATAAAGTTTAGAATACATCTTCTGAAATTGAGAATGTGTATTCTATACACTATACATATTCTATGAAATTTAGATTATGTATTCTACACACTCTACATGTTCTACGAAATTTAGAGTCATTTCTATTCTAAGGTATTTAGAATACTAATTTCTTCGAAATTTATAATATATATTCTATATTTTTCTCTTTGTTCTACAAAAATTAGAATATGTCTTAAGATATATCATATATTCATATTCTAAAAATATTAGAAAACGTATTCTTAAATTTTTTCTTATATTCTATAAGAATTAGAAAGTATATTCTATCTAATTTAGAATTTCTTAAAAAATAAAGGAAACAAAATCTTAATTAGGACACACGATATTATCTAGCCCTTGATTATCTCTACATTATGTCGTCTTATTAATAAGACACACGACATTAGATTTTTCCTATCAGCCTCATGCATCAAAGCATTTTCTCAAATCTTTGGTTTTGAATTCCCACGGCACAAATTTGTTCCAGATGTTTTGTTTTTGTATTTAATTAATCTATAATCTGTATAAATTGGAAAATCATGATTAAACCAACAAAATAAAGCAAAAACCTTTACATGTCTATAGACTGAAATTCAAAGAAGAAGAAGAAGAAGTAAATGAGACTTTGGAATGAATGACGGAAGTAAAACTATTGTCGCTCTTGCTCTATAGTTTAGTCCAAAAATTAAAAAGAAAATTAGGGAAAGATTTTGCAAGATTTTAGAAAAAAATAGAAATTTCTATAATTTTAGAAGATTTTTTTATGTTTAAGGGTATAATGGTATCAAAATTTTAGTAAATCATATGTCACCAAACTTCAACATTGAATGCATATCTGGACAAATTTTAAAATAAACCTCCTTAATATCCAATTTTCCCTAAAATGTAATAGAAAAAAATTGGTAGGAAAATGAAATATCACAAATAATTATACTGTAAATAATGAAACAATAAATTTTATGCATGAAATGATCTGGCGAATGCATAGAATATCACGTGTCCCAGATTATGGAGACACGAAAACATATTGAAAAAATTATCAACCAATTATAAACGAGAGAATCTTCAAAGGATTATCCACAAAGCTAAATAAATTACGAGGCATAATTAGATTTAACCAAAACTATTAATTTGAAATTTTTAGAGAAGATGACGCATTTTGTATTTAAAAATAATATAAGAAAGCAAATTTTATTTTTTGTGATAGCTAAAAATTTTGTGTCAATAAAAGTAAAGGAAATAAAATATAGATTTTAGCATGTTTTCATGAGATGCATATTAATCAACCAGTGACCACTAAAAAATTCATATGAAACTATTGTATGCTCTAAACTTGATTTGTATTTTATCTTAAAAAATTATTTTTTGTGAGATAAAATACCGAAAGTAATGTTGGTAGGAAATATTTTAAGGGGATCGTTAAAGTTATCTTTGTAAGAGTTGTTTAAAAAATTTGTTGTCTAATTAATTATCCCAATAACATCTTTTGTCTTATTCACATAATAGAACTTACGCAAAGTACACAACTAATGTAAGTACACATTTCAAGTACAGCGATTAAAGTGGGATTGTCAATGTAGCTATTTCATGTGATTATTGAATAGAAAATGTAAATATTCTTCACCTTAATTTCTTAACATTAAAACTATGCTAAAGAATGAAATTAATGTTTATAATATATCGAGCACGTATCCCTAATCTTTCACAAAAGGACACACTTTGACCTTGAGATGATGATTTAGATCTTAAGTATGTCTTCCAATCAGTTAATTAAAGTTGTTGTTTATTGAAACGAAAAAGAAAAGTAATTCCACTGTTAAAGATTCTAATTGTTTGGTTAACAAAAAAGAAAAAGATGCATGGTAAATGAAATTATTTCGCCTTATATTGACATTTATCGTTTAACTTGTTTTTTTTTTTTAATCAAATCCTAATTATTATTGAGCAACTGTTTGTAAGATTAGTACTACATTATATGATTAAAAAGACGTTAAAAAGGATACTCTCTCTGTATTTGAAAAAATGTCGTTTCAACTGTTTTTGGGTGAATTAAGAAAGGGCACAGAATTACAAAACTAACCTTATGAGAAACGATTATTTACAATTATATTTTATATTTTTTAAATCAATTAAGAAAGGGCACAGAATTTTATGAAAATCGATTCGTATCTATAGTTTTGGTAATTTAGACTGATTAATTATGATCAATTAATTAGGGGTAATTTAGGAAATTTTATGCAAAAGTTGTTAAAATGACAACTAATTAAAAACACAGAAAAAAGGCTAGAACGACATTTATTCAAATACGGAGGGAGTAATATTTTATAGAAGACGTTACAAGACATAGTTTCAATAAATGTTTAAAAGATTTTTGTTCCCATGTTATTTTTGCTACCGTCCATCTTTAGTACGTAATATAAAGACTCTTCTTTAGTTTCGATTCGTCTGGAATGTCCATCTTTAAAAGACGTATCAGAATATAAGCTTTATATATACTTACTATATATAGTATATACTAGAATCTAATACGGCTAGTAAAATTAATACATGTACATTAATTTTCTGATTCTTTACCTTTTGTATATAATAGTTAAATCTCTTTAATATTATGAATTTACGTAAATATAATAATCCGTAGAAAATGATTTAAGCTAAAATCTTCTACATAGTAGTAGAAGAGGATGGAGTGAACAGGTTAATTAGAAAATAATGAAATGCAAAGAGTGTTTTAAGGAGGATTTAAGTTTTAATTTCTAATGAAATATATTTGTGCTTTTTTTTCAGTTGCCTTATTAAAAATATATGCATGCCTAAAATCTGAAAACATAAAAGATTCTCTCAAAGAAACTCAGAAACCAAAATTTTGCAATCACATTACGCATATATCTTGGAGTTGGAGGTCGGAGAATTACAAAAAAAAATAGAAGCATACATATACATAGTACTCTCTCCGTTTTCGAATAGTTATCGTTTTAGAGAAATTTTTTTGTTTTTAATTAGTTGTCGTTTTCAGTTTTCGATGCAAAATTTATTACTTTTTTATTTTTTATATTTATTTTTATTGTGCAACTTGATTTACTATTGGTTAAATTATGTTTATGTAGATAACTAATGATATTTTTATATTGAAAAACTAACAACATTAATAGTTTCTTAATTTGTGTGCATATAGTTAAAACGACAACTATTCGAAAACGGAGGGAGTATATAACTATAATCATCTAATCTACTATAAAGATTCCGTCCTCGTGTGGATCGACGTTGACATATCGTCGGTGACTTCAATGTGTTGGCTCTTACATAATTAAAAGGAATCAAGAACATCTCGATTTGCACATAACTTAACGTTACTTATTATTAACTATTTTTTGAAACCGAATTCAAAAGTGATGAGTCGTTTGGCATCATAATTAATGCGGATACATTTCATAATTAATCATCCTGCTATACTTGTTTTTCTAGTTTGAGTTACTATCTCTTTGCGTTGATGAGAGGATTGCGTCAATGGCTTCTTTAACTTGAGAAATGTCCGGAGCTTTTCCTCCTTGCGCCGGCCAAAACTCATCGGCCGCAAGTACCTATAAAAAGACATTTAAATTTTTTGTTATATCAATACTTGAAAAACCTTATATATCACATAGCTTATGATATATAATTAACGGAATGGTTGATAAGAATAATTTACCTTAACTTGTACTTGAAGAAACTTGACATAGCCAATTGCTTTCTCAAGCATAGTCACCAAATCCACCTAAATAAAAACCACCATAAAGATAAAAATCATCAGTACAAGACAATATTTATTATCCTCTAGGTTTGAGATCCAAAAGTTGCTGTAAAAGTAAAATTTTACATATATCATACCTTGGTGCCATTGGGTACAAGTTCTTGCAATACTTTGAGGCGCTCGCTTATCCTTTCTCTTCGGTTCTAGAAAAGAAACATTGTTTCATATTGGCTGATTGACTAACGCACATATGTATTTTTTAGTTTTCTTGACTTAAATCCAAAAAGAGAACCATGGCCAAAAATGTTGATGAATAAAAAGAAAGCAAACCTTAGCTGCTAGGCTTTGTGGATCTTTAGGTGAAGTTGTTGCCTTAGGTTTGGCCTCTCCATTGGTACCACTACTTGGCTTCTTCGAAAGGTGAGTGTTATCTCCCTATGGATCAATAGACGGTAAAATGTTAACATCTATAAGTGACCTAAATCAAAATTCTTAATTTATACTAATAGTTACCGTGAAAGGACGTTTATTTCCAGCCAGTTTAGGGGACGCAGACTCGTGCCTTAAACCGGTGTTTACAATGGTTGAATCTGAATATAACCAGTCTCCATTTCCATGGTTTGTCGCCGGTTTACATCTGGAATTTGAAGTCAATTCAAAACTGCTCGTTGTTTCAAAGCTATTTGAGGTTTTGATGACTCTAGGGCTAATACTATCCATCTGATGATGACTCCAGCCTGTGTAGCCGTAACTCATGTTCTCCTCCAAGACCGAGAAGGCACCACCGTTTGTCACAGGAGAGATAAAGCTTCGGTGATAATCAAAGCTAAAGAATGATGAAGCGTTGAAATCCATCAAAGAATTATGATCCTCAATGCTTTCCCCGGAAGGGTAAAACACACACCCTTGATTCTGTTGATGATCAGAATTCATGGTGCTACTGCTTGAAGCTGAAGCTCTTCCCTCTAATCCAAAATTCTCGGGTGAAGAGAGGTCTTCTGAAGAAGTTGGGTTTGAGATGTAATTAGGCTCATTGCAATGATCGTTAATGAGTGACATTGTTACTAAGTATAGGGTGTTCTAGTGAGATGTATGGGGTTTCTATTTTTTCTATCTTAGGTTTTGCTTTGGAAGTTTAAGAAGATTTGAGAAATCGAAACAACGAAGAATGGTTTTAAGATTGTAGATTGGTAAGCAAAGAGAGACAATGTTTGTGTAGTTATGTTATCATAATAAAGGTTTATATAGGCGGTTCATTCTAATATTTTAAAAGAAAATGATGACATTTAGATATATTTTTTAGTTTCTATTTAAGTTATAATTTTTTAAGAGAGGAAGCTGGCATGAGATCAAAATAGATATTTCTCGAGTTTATTAATCTTATCAGTCGAAGCTTCGAAGTGATTATGAATGTAAATTTACATGCAAGTACACTTTTTATAATTTAAAATAGCAAATTTGATTACTGCTTCTTTCCACTTAGGAAAGTAATCACTAAGTTTTGTAAGTGAAAACCGTGCAAAGAAATAAACATTCTAATAAGCCATCTTAAAGGTTTCATTAAAATAGATGTTACAAAGGACCGTCCAAAAAGATTATTCTACAATATTGATCGAATTTCACAATTTTTATTTACTGAATCAAAGACATATATCAAACGGAATCGGAGCAAAATATATAGCAGATGATTAAGGCCATTGCCCATGTATTAAAATCAACACATATACTATTGAGAATTTAGTCCAACTTCCACCTATACTTTTATTGCCTCCAAAACATGAAACTTTCTTAGTTATCGAGAACAAAACTTCCACTCCTTGGATCGATCGATCCTCAACTGTTGGTCAACTTTTTGTTCTCTCGATCGTTTTTGGCCCGAACAAGCCCAATAATGGATCAAAACCTCCAAATCCCGAACAAACACCTATAACCCGTAAAAGACTCATGACAAGACCAAAAAGACGCAAAAAATGGATTACGACGCGACAAACGACTCAAAAACAAAACTAACCAAATGACTTAATACACCAAAAACGCAACATATCAATAAACTTGGTTCGTTTGATTTGTTTTAACTTAGTAATCGTCGGTTCACAAAAAAAAAAAATTCTCAACATAGATATAAATAGAGCTGTCGATTAGGGCATAATACCGCAGGCTATAACTCAATCCAAACCCAATCTACCTTATAAGAGAGTGGTCTAAGGCTTTATTTTTTGTGTTCGTTGTCTTGCAGGCGGAGCTTACCATGGTATGGTCTTTAGTAGGCTTATTGTTGCGGTTTGCGGGCATGACTGCGAACTAATCTCTTACTAATAAAAGATACTAATTGAGGCCTCTCAAGCCATCCACATCAGCAATAGCAAAAACACCTAGGAGAATGCCACATCAGCGCATCAATTTTTTTAATTTCTCTCATGATGCCACGTCACCTAATTAGGGTAATTAAGAAACTAATCTACGAACTCATTAAACGCCTCTTCCCTCAAGCTAATAATATATCTATGAAATAGTGGTAACTAAAATAAATTTTTAAGTGAACTGCAAAGGTAATACCAAATTAAACAGCATAATCTAGCTATGTATAGGTAACTCATTGGTATTATCAAAGTTGAGAGTGGAAAACGAATGCTACTAGCCTACTACCAATGAAACTAAAACAATAGAGGTAGAACTTATGTATCATTAACACAAATTTAAACTCTTTTCTTAAAATGTGAGTTACACGTCTCACTTCAATTTCAAAAACTTTATATTTAAGGGATATACAAAACAAGCTGCAAAAAATTGAAATGAATATTTAATTTTAAAATGAAGAAAACAAATAAATATGATTTGAAAATAAAGTATGAGATGTATATATAGATGAATATATCCTAATAATAATTAGAAAAAAAAATCACAAAGAAAATTTTTAAAGATGGATAAAACTGAACAATAATTTGTACCATACATGTTTCTATTAAAATATTAAATATTACATCAAATGTATTCTAAACAAACTAAAAAATAATTTCAATCTAAATTAGTGTAATGATTAAATGTATACCCGGGCGTAGCCCGGATTACCTAGTAAAAATTAAAATTTATAATTATTAAATTTTTTGTAACAATTCCACTTCTTTCAAGTTTATAACCCACGACTTGAGTTTTAAGTTTTCTTATCTTTTACCTATTATCTCTAAAATTTGTTTTTCTTGAGTTTAATCTTTTTTTTTTTTGTACCTCCACCACAATTCTACGAGATTATAACTCCACCATGATTTCATTTTCTTTAATGTTGCCAATTTTCATATTTTTCTTCGTTGTAAGTAACTCTTTTTCTTCAAGATCGATAATGTTCTAATATGTATCCTCTTACGTCTAAATATACATATTTCTTTCATTCACACAAACATAATTCCTCATTCACACAAAGACACAAATATTTAAATCAAAGATTTTCGAATTGTGACTGTGTGTTAATTAGTTCATTTATTTAGTTTCCAGTTTTATGAAATTATTAATTAAGATTTATCTGTTTAAGACTACAGTATGAACTGCATATCCTTAAATATTAAGCGTTTTGGGTTAGGGTTTTAATAATCACGGGCCAACCCGCCAAAGCTTGCAACAGAGAAATCCAGCTGCAGTTAGAACTAAAAGGTTTGTTAAAAAAAATGGTTTGGTTTAGTTTAGTTGATTCGATTGGTTTTTTTTTTCGGTTTGCCCACACCTACATAACCTACATAGAAGTAGAAAATTTAACCTACATAAACCCAATTGTTTTTCTAAATCATAAGCAAGGATGTGTGATAAATATATAACTATGTAAATTATTTTTAAGTATTAATAGATGATGATGTATGTATGCAGTTAATGAATGTAGTTCCAAGTTTATTAATCACAAATTACAATAATACTATTCGTTATGATCTCTCATCGGGATTGTTGGCTGGCAGTAGTGAAATTAATGGACTGGGAGACTTTTGAAGAAGCATAAATAAATCAACAAAGATAGAAAATTTAAAGAAATTAGTGATTGAAAGAACAAAAGAAGCAAAAACATCGCCGTATTTTCCGCTAATCTTCACGTCGTTTTTATTGCCATTTTGGTGTATTGAATAAAGAAGACTAAATTTTCTTCAACTAAATTTGCCTTTTCAAGTATCACGGAGAATTAATTAACTCTAAATTTCCAAAAACAAGATAATCAGAAACATAAAATTTTATAAAGAGAAACAAAAACTTTTTCGAAGCAACACACCCGTAAACGACATAGTTATGATTGATTTTGAGACTCTAGCTATCAGTGTAACTGAAAATATAATCTTGATGATTTTATAATCACATTTTTACTACCTACATATTTAGTTCGATTTAATATCTTTTAATGTGTAGATTATAATCTTTTTTATATACCTGTTATGTTTCCTTTTAGTTCTTGTGTATAGATGGGTAATACTGTATACAGTTTATAGTTATGTTCAGATTCAACTGTATCTCTATTAAAAACAAAACAAAAAGACGGTGTCTCTATTTAGGCTTTGGCTGTTTAGATTGGTCCAAAGAGATAATACCAAATGTTACGGTGTAAAATGGATAACATTTTATGCAACCAGAGCCGTTTCTATGAGTAGACAAGGTAGGCAAATGACATAGATCTATAGTCAATTTTTAAAAATTTCATAAAGTTAAAGGGTCCAAATTTTTCAATAATTATCAAAAGATTTTAATTCTTTTTAGTTTTACCAAAAGTCCTACAATACATTGAAACGGGACTGTATGCAACAATTTATTCTCGGTATGATATAGAGGTTTATTGTGATTACCAAGAAGTTTTGGATCGAAACACACAATCTCCTCAACCGTTTTGGGTTTGATAACATATTTTTACGATGGCGCGCTAATACTTTAGTACTGATCCAGATGGGTATTTTTAGACTTGTTAATTGAATATCATCAGTAACATTTTGAAGTAAAGTACGACGTTCAAAGTACAATATGATATTTAATGGTAGACAAATTTCACGGAGACTTTTGTAGGATACTCTATAGGTACAAGAATACGTTTAAACAAAATAGAGAAACAACAATATTTACTTGGTCGTTCGTTGGTACTTGTTTTGGATTGTGTTGTGTGTAGCTTTTTTTTGTTTTTGATAAATCGTTTTTGTGTAGTTTCTTGAACTGAGAACCTAAGTTGCATGACATTCAATCAACTTGTAATTACTTTAATGTTTAGAGGAAAAATGTCACCAAAGTGTACTCCACAGTTAAGCATGTTTAATTCTTTTTATAATGGAATGAAGCAAATTGATTAATCTTATAAGTCACACAACTCGAGATCAATCTCTAACAAGCTTAACTGTGGAGTACACTTTGGTGACGTTTGACCGAAAAGATAAGTACACTTTGGTGACATAGATGGTCAAATCATTTCTTTTAAACCTCTCCGCATGCACCACCATATTCCTGAAACCGAAGTATTACAATTTAACCCCACTAAAAGATCGCAACATCTTCGTTGCGCACCAAGACCGTCACCCCCGATAGTGGGAGCCCTCTTGACTCCACACTCGTCTGGGTTCGGCTCTAATACCACTTATAACGCCCCGACCGCCACAGCTCTCTTAATGAGCCCCACATCCTCTCTTGGCCCATGGGCCCACCCGTGTCTCACGGCCGGACCGCTATGTCTGGGAGGCTTGTTTACTAATCCTAAAAATCACCATATGATCTTTCCCTGTATTTTGTCATCACTCACACAGTTCCAAAAATCACTTTCCGGAAGGTCACCCATTCTCAAATTGCTCTAGCTCAAGCACGCTTAAATATGAAGTTCTCTCATGACGTTTGACCGAACAGATAAGTGCACCTTAGTTACATAGGTAGTCAAATAATTTCTTTTAAACCTCTCCGCATGCGCCACCATATTCCTGAAACTGAGGTATTACATTACCAATAGAATGAAACAAAGAGTTTATGTTGTAGTGTTTCACAAGCAAATTACGTCCATAAAAGATAGAGCACTATCAAGAAACTATGGAAGTTCTAAAAGATGTTTCTTATTGAATAAGATAAGATAGCAGTGCAATGCCGTATATTATACATAATTTGATCTATACAAGATACTAGGTCAATGGGTTAAGGGGTTTCACAGCCCAATAAGTACTAAGTGAGTGATTAGTTGGGCTGTATGTGTGTAGAATTTTTGCTCTAAAGTTTTTGCTGGATTTGTGTTGGCTTTAGCTGTAGGTTTTTTTTCTGTAGATATTTTAATAGTAAAACCTGATTGGTAAAGTTAGTTCAATATTATAGATTTAAATTTTAAGTATATGACTTTTTTTTTTGAATAAAAAGTATATGAATTTTTAAAATTTGGAATATATTACATACAATAAGAGATGAAACATATAATAAATAGTAACTTTCATATATACATAATACATTATACGATTTTTAGTGAAAATATATATTATCATATGTATAATTTATAATAATTAAATGAAATATATAAATATATATAATTTATATAATTTTTTGTCACTTTTTATATGTTATTTACATTAGTAAGAATATCGTAAATAGATTATTTTGTCTTATCTTTAAAGTATCATGTACTAATATGCTGTAAAAATAAATAATTAAATCTTTCGTTAAAATTTATTATATAAATTTATTATATAAATTTTATGTCTAAGAAAAGTATATTAAAAATCAAATGTAGGAGAAAATGAATATGTTGTAAAAATTTTAAGAGTTATAGCAAAAAAAAAAAGTGGTTTTGGGATGTAAGATTTTTTACGAAAACTGAAGCTAGATTGGTTCAATATTGAGGTTTTAAGTTTCTTTTTTAGCTGTATCATAAAGATATAGCCGAACCAATCACTCGCAAGTCCAGTTTCTTTATAGATATTGATAATTCTTTAATGAATCAAGATTGGTAACATGTTGTAATATTCAAAACAAAACTTTATATTGTAAAATGTTTTCTATACCTTTGATTTATATTTGTTTAACATAACATATTTAACAAAAAACAACTTAGAAAGTGTTTCTTTTTGTTTAAATAAAT